TTTTCTCCTCTTTTCTTTCTTGCAGCTTGGCAGTGACCTTGGCGGGGGAATTGGAGGCAGCCCAGCAGTAAGTGCCCCCCATTCATTTTTTTTTCTTTCCAGTTCTGATTGAAAAAAATATGATTTATTTGTTGAATTTATATCCCATCTTTCCTTCAGGAATTCATGTTAGCACACATGGTACTTTCTCCTTCAGTTTTATCCTCACAACAGCCCTGTGAAGTAGGCTGGGCTGAGACATTGTAACCCGGTTTTAAGTTGGCCAGTATTCGGGATTAAGTGAGGATTTGAAAACAGCATCTCTCATTCTGCAACCTTAACCACTAAAACTCACAGGCTTTCACTCCGTGGTCTTCTTTCCCTATCCATCCTTTTTAAATCTGTGCAGCTGAGATAGCCCAAAGTTAGAAGTTCTCAACACGCAGTTCTCTGGATTAAAGCAGCCAACCATCCAAAACACTGAAATAGTGGAAGGAAAAGAAAAGAGAGTTTTGGTGACAAGCTTAACTTGTAGAATAGTCAAGAAATTGGGAATTCTGTTGCCAGGGAGATTACAGTATATTTATCCATGTGAGGTAGGTGTATCACTGCTTTCTCGTAAAAAAAAATGGAGAACCAAGGAAACCAAGCTGAAGGATTCCCAGGCTTTGTGCAAGACACCAGAGCCATTATAAAAACCTGATTTCTTTTTTACTTTTCTTAGAGGCAACACTTAAAACTTGGCCAGCTGAGCCACATTCAAGAAGGGACTGAATTTGCCTGAGCATTCTCTGCCTCCTTCCAGTTTCAAAATCATTGCTCTTCCTTTAAAGAAAGCTGGCACCTGAAGCACAAGTCTGGCTTGATCCCAGAGCCCCATAAACCTATAGATGGAAAGCATAGGGCTACCAGAGTCCTACCCTCTTCTGAGAAATTCCAGATAATTTAAAGTCACTGAATGAACTAGAGCTGATCTACTCATATTCCTGGTTTCCAAGGGTCATTTGTACTGAGGATTACAACTGACCATGGAATGAAGAGTTCCAGTTCAACTAAAGTGGATTTGAGGGTCATGGGACTGCCTGGCTGATCAAAGGGTCAATTTTTGAAAGCGCCAGGATTGAACCTATTTCATTACATAGGTGTTGATGGATTAGTTATGACTGAGAATTCCTTATGGAGAGATCACTCACCGTTATATGGTACAGTTCCTCATCTTCAGCTGAACTACAGTTTAATTTAAATTAACTTTCTTGGCATGTGTGATGCTAAACACATGACTGAGTTCACAGAGTGACCTAGGCTAAAATCTGATTAATTGGCTCATGGCTCACGGTGTCAGGAAAGCCCATCCACTCTGTAGTATGATAATCCCGAGTGTGTTATGTCATGACAAGAATACAACTGCGTATCTGCAGGAGGGCCAATCACTTGCAAAAGAGTACCTTCCCCAGACACCAAAGAGAATGGCTGGGTCATGAGATGCTCTAATTTCTGGGGGTCTTGTGGGTCCACTAGATATGCTTCTCTTTCCCTCCCCCTGAAAAAGTGTTTTTGGTCTGACCCAACCCCAAGTCCCTCCTCCGTTCTTTGGTCATTTGCACCTCATCTTTAAACTGAAAGGATGACAGGCCCAAGGAAGAATGAAAGCAGAGAGTGAAGGGAGATAAGACCTGCAAAAACAGCATTCTCTAAGAAAGAAGAACTATTTCTGCTGCCTTTCACAACTCATAGATGAAGTGGGAGAGAAGCTGTGGGTCAACAGCGGACTAGAAGCTTTCATGGTAAAGATTAAAAGTCCCATCCCTGGATTTTTCACTAAGATATAGCATGGCTGGCAAGGGCCTCTTTTTGCCTGTGATCTTGATGAGTCAGTAAATTCCAGGAGTCAGCAACTTCTTTAATGCAGTGGGCACCACCATGTAATTCTGCACAGTGTCACAGGCAAGGGGGAAAAAAATGTTTTTTTCAAAAAATATATGCAGTGACACTTCAATGTAATGGGTCAGTTGGGGGCCAGGAAATGTCAGTTACTCTCAAATGTCTTACAGCACAAATTATGTAATTTGCAATGATTTGCATCCTTTGCAAATGATACAACACACTGCAAGTGACATAAAGCTAATATGTTTTTAATTGCCTTGTCTCCCCACAATGTTATTTGGAGGGAGGGAGGGAGAAGAATAGAAAGCCAGTTGCATCCATAGTCCATAAATTGGGATTCGTTAAATCAAGGTTTCACTGTATTTAAAAAATCAAATTGCTAAGACCTTATGAGATCTAGTTTATTTTAAATTGCATTCTTAAACATATATTTCATTTCTGGAGTCAGTAGGTACCATGTAGTAGCCACTACTACCCTGGAGTACTCAGTCTTCAGTACCTGGACCAATATTCTTCATCATATAAGATCAACTCATCTGCTTGGGCACTTCCAGTCACCTTTTTTAATTTTAGTCTTAATAACTGTGCATCTGGATTTTTGCATGATGTTGCCCCTGCTTCCCTGGCTCCTTATAAGCAAGCTTTTTAAAATTCTGGGATATATTTAGGCATAAGTTCAAGCAAGGATGGAAATGAGTTCTGTGTTGCTTCTTTTAAAGTGTCCCTGACCATGTCCTTGCCCTTCAACTCTTCAGAGTCCTTTGGAGAAGATAGGTTGGCTATTAGTGGCTGCTTCAATCACATAGTCAGGGGTAGTGGAAGTGGGGATTAAAGCAGAGAGCACACTAGTGTGCAAATTAGTACCCTTGGTCATTCAGCAAGATGCCAGGAAGGAGTTTTAAAATATTCAGAATATTGTCCAATGTCATGGTTTATTTAATATAGGTGTCTTACATACCACCTATTTAAATGCCTTCCCTAATTGCTTACAGGTGGGACAGACTTTCATCCCATCATCAGTCCCAGCAACATTTGCTCCCTCACCTACCCCGGCTGCAGTCAGCAGTGGACTCAATGACCTCTTTGAACTCTCTTCTGGCATCGGCATGGCACCTGGTGGATATGTGGCTCCCAAATCGGTACGTGTGAGGAAACATGGCCAGACAGCTGTCTCCTTTTGCCAGTGTTGCCTCTTAGTTTGCTATAAGTACATCATTAGTTATTTTTTTTACATGCCTCTCTCTTGTGCTCCACACTGATTTTGGTTCTGAACACATGAAGGGCAGCTCTGACTTTTGTTCTGTTTGGCCCAATGAGCCTCTCCACCCATTACTGGAGAATGCAGATCTTATTTTATTTATCTTATTAAGTAAGTGAATATTTTATACTGCCCTAATTCTTAATGATTTAGTTCCAGATCTTCTACCTTTTCCCTTTCCCAAACCTTTAGCTAAATCTCAAACCATTCCAGAAACCTTTGCCAAATTGAAATGTTCTATGTGATACAAAACAAGTGTATTTGCTAAATGAATCAATGCCATTTCAGCCCCATACCCAGGCCTAAATCCTGATTGAAAGGGATCCAGATAATCCGTTTCTTCCAGAGTTCCCTGAAGCTGTTGCGTGACCACCTTCTCCACAACCTTCCCCCCAAAGAGAAGATTGGAGACTGGATGAAAATTGTCCAGTTCCATCAAGTCTAGTGATAGCTTCTTGAGGAGGGGGCAAATCACTGCCTCTTTAAGAGATGGTAGGACAAGCCCCCCCCCCCCCCACTTCCTTAAGAATTCACCATCAGAACCCAGCTGCACCCAGCCATCCCAGGAGGCTTTAGCCTACTTCAGATTCAGATTACGTTATAATGACTCTCTTTGAAAAGTTTTCATCAAATTCATTTGGTACCACAAGGAAAAGTTTAAGTGAAAGCAGGATGGTGGTTTTGTTTTTTGTTTTGTTATGATTTAAAGCATGCTGGCTGGGGAATTCTGGAAGTTGAAGTCCACATACCTTAAAGTTGCCAAGTTTGAAAAACACTAGTTTAGAGCTTGCTATTTCCTCTTTAAATCCCCTTTCCTTGCCAGTTTGTTGTGAACTCTATTCAGAGCGCTGTAATGGTTTTTGGGACTATCTCCTCTCCAGCTTTTCTGTTTAAGTCAGCTGGAAAGGAGCTATGCCACCTTCTGAAATGCAATCATCATTATATACATTTATATACCAATATACAAAATCATTTGAAGCAGAAAGGCAGAATATACCACTCAGCCTTACTGTCTACCATGATAAAGAAAAATCTCACTGGAATTGTTCTGACCCTTTATGGGCCCAGCTCTGCTTGCTGCTAACTGTCACTTTATAGGTCACTTTATAACTTTATAACTTTAACTGTCCCTTGTCACTTTATAGGTCTGGTTGCCGGCTGTGAAAGCCAAAGGCCTGGAAATTTCTGGGACCTTCAGCCACCGGCAAGGACACATCTACATGGATATGAGTTTCACCAACAAGGCTCTTCAACACATGAGCGATTTCGCCATTCAGTTCAACAAGAACAGGTTAGCCCTTGGAATCAGCTAAAAGCCCTTTTGTCATAGGCTTCACCTTTCTTGGCTTCTGTGCTGAATGTTACCTCTTCTTCCCTCTCTTTCCTCCCCACCCATTCAGCTTTGGAGTCATCCCCAGCACCCCTCTGGCCATTCATACTCCTCTGATGCCAAACCAGAGCATTGATGTTTCCCTTCCGCTCAACACTTTGGGACCAGTCATGAAAATGGAACCTCTCAACAATCTTCAGGTATGGGATTGGGGTGGGGTGGGGGATGGGAGAAGGTAGTCAAGACTTTGCAGATTTGCATTTTGATAATGCAGAATAGTTGGGGAGGGAAGCAAAAATGGCTGAGTACTCAAGGAACTGTCAGATCCTTTTCAAATGATGTGGTGGTGGAGGGTTTTTTTTTCCTTACAAAGCAAGAAGCTGTTGTTGGAACCAAGCAATTTAGCATTTTCAGTTCAGGCAGAGAAAATAAAGGAGTTTTGTACATCATGTATACTTTCTGGACTTCATTGTAGCAATGATCATTATGTGAAATGACTTTTAAAAGAATTAGATATTCTGGCTAATTCACCTAATTAATAAGTTAGAATTTTCTTAAAACATGTAACTTGTTGAAGAAGCCCTGGTGAGCTGGTCCACACATAATACTAAGATATAAGAATTGGGTCTGCATATCATCTAAACCAAAAACAAACAGATTGTGTTATGGCTTAGCTTCCGAGGTGGCTGGATTCTGTGGGCAGATAGGGATTACATATCCTCCTGTGCAGCTTTTCTGAAATCTAGTATGTATGTATGTATGTATGTATTTATTTGTTTGTTTATTTTTCAATTTGTATGGCTGCCCATCTCAGTAAGTGGCTCTGGGCAGCAAACAAAAGAAATTAAAAGCAAATTTCTAATTTGCTTTGTCCATTCCACTTCTGTACTCTAAGCACCAGGCCCCTGAGTCGATTCTGGTGTTATAATACATAATGGCTAACCATAGCTGGCCTTCTACACAATGGTTTCTATTCCAGATATATAGGCAAACTGTGACTCCTTCACTTCTTTTCCCCCTCCTGGCACTCCTCTAATAATCTTTGTATGGTATCCCCAACAGGGAAGCTTATTAACCACAGAAAGCCCCATTTTCTTCAGCAGTTCTGTCCTGTGTGCTATGAATGAACCTACTGATAAGCAGATAGAAATAGTGCTGCCTTGATGTGGAAGCTCCCAGTTGGGGCTGAGAACAAGAGACGTGCAGCTGTGTAGCTGCTTTTACAGAGGCAGGGAGTCTGTGAGCCAGAAACATCTTAACTGGGAAAATAAATACATAGAACAGGCTCTCAGTTTCAGGTTGTTTACCTCTGTATATTTGGATGTCAGACGAAGTAGATATTTTGCTCATTTAACATGAGTGCTCTTCAGCTTTTATTTTTAAAAAGCCAACAGATTAAATGTAATCTATGTATCCTCCATATTCAGAAGCATTCTATCTCCAGTTGTTGTTGGAGAAGAAAATAGCAGGAGGGTGTATTTTTTAAAGCTGTGTCGATTTAATAGAGGCTTCTAGGAAGCAACTGTTAACAAAAGGATAGTGGGCTGCAGAGACCTCCAGTCTGAGCCTGTAGGTGTACTCTCACACTTTTAGATATTTGTTTATTTTGTCACATAAAATCCAAATATTTATAAATATAATCAAAAGTGCACAGTGTGGTTGCCCTCGGAGATACTAAGGGCTGAAAACCCTTTGTAATAAAATAATCTTGGGGGTCTTTGGTCACATGGCATTCTTCCAGGCAGAGCATATTCCAAAGTGTGGGGCTGTCACTGAAAAGTATTGAGTCTTTAGTCCATACACCCTGCACCTCACATCTTTTGAGACTATACATATTTGGACTCATGCTTGGCAGGACACCCCCTGATGTATCCCAGTACCATGCAATATTGGGCTTACTGGCAGTCAGTGCAGAGATTTCAAGTTGGGAGTAATTCTGGAGTATCAGGTTTCTCCAGCTGAAAGCTGGCCACTGCATTCCCTGCAAGTTGCAGCTTCCAGGTCATTTTCAAAGACAGCCCCACATAAGGAGTCTAACCATGTGGCGATCAGGGCTTCCTGGTCTAGGGATGACCATAACTGGCTCACCAACCATAGCTAGACAAAGGCCTCCCTGGCTATAGCTCCTACCTGCCCATGAGGATCCCCAGTTCATAAATAAGCTCTTTCAGGGGAAGCATGGCTCCATCGAGATTGGCCACATAGCTGATGTTCCCAGATAGCTCAGCTGCTTATGCATAAACAGCAACTCTTGGTAGGCTTTATTCTGACCTTGTTTCTTCCCATTCAGTCCCAGGATGTAGGTAAATGAATTAGAAATAAGTATGACAGAGCTGGCTTCCTTAGTGGAGTAGTAAGAGAGCACGGGAAGTTTTCATTAAGAGTTTGGATGGAGAAAAGAGCCCAAATATATGCATTATGGTGATTTGTTTTCCTAAGGTGTTAGGCTTTTTATCTGAAGATGTTGCAAGGGGCAGCCCCACAAACAGATAGAGAAGTTAAAAACCAGCCACATGCTGGCTTAGCTGACTGTCTCTCTCCAGGAGTCCTTGCTCAGGAATCCTGTGTTTTGGATGGAATTAGTTGCTCTCAAGCAGAAGGACTCAGAAATGTTGTCATTACTGAAGAATCTGTTAATGATAGAAGAACTTTCTGTTCCCATTTATCTTTTTTTAAATCCCCCCTGAAAAAGCAGCTTGTACATGTAGCTGATTCAGCTTCAAGAGAATCAGTGTGTGCAGAAGCAATTATGGGGGAAAGAATGTAGATATTTAAACATTTTGTCCCTTTTCCCCTTTTTTCTGCTCTCTTCCTTTCTCCTTTTCTTGCCCTTCTTTAGTATCACTGGTTAGATCTGGGATGTTACAATAATACCACAGAAATTGTATTGCCCTTCATGATTTCCTTGCCATCATTCACATGTTCTGCATTAGAGTTGGGTGAATTAATGTGACATGATTTTTCTTGTATGTCCATCCGTCCCCTCTTTCAGGCAGGGGCAGGAGAAGGGGTCTTTGTTCCAATTTTGTTCAAGCTCATTCATTTGCTCTCCAGGGACAAGGGTTTGGTGTTTTGATTTTTTTTAATTGATTATGTGCCATGAAGTCATTTTCAACTCCTAGCAACCACATAGATAGATATTCTTCATGATGACTTATCCCTAACCTTGTCTTTCAGGTCTTCCAGTGGTGCACTCATTGCCACTGTAACTGAGTCCATTCACCTTGATGCTGGTTGTCTTATCTTTCCTTCTACCTTCCCCAGCATTAGATCCATTTCCAGAGATTGGTGTCTCAGTTGGTGCCTAAAAATGAGGAGCAGGAAATACAACGCTTTCATCCAGCTGCCATCCCAGAGGGAGGCATGAGGTGGTCGTGGCATCCCATTAGGAAGATAGCAAGGGCTAGTCCACTATCGTCTTATTTTTCCTCTCTTGCAAAGCAGGTACTAGCTAGGTGAGGGGTTTTCAAATGGTTCTCCAGAACACATCAGAATTCCTTGGAAACTAGTTTAGTTTAGTTTAGTTTCATTTTGTAGTATTATTATGGCTGTGGACCACTCAAAACACAAACATACAGTATATCCAATCCTTCAAGTTACTCTTGTTAATGACAACATGGCTGTCAAATTCCATCCCTTGGAGATTTCCTGGCTCCTCGTTTTCTGTTTTTCAAAGTATGGTAGTAAGTTGGCCTACTGACTTGTTAATAAAGTTGGAGAAAGCAGGGACATGAAGTGGAAAATAACACCATCCCAAATTCAGTGGCAAAGAAAGCACAGTTGATTTGTTACTCATAACTAAATCATTTTTCTTGGGTGCATTGTATCTTTACTCAAAATTAGGTGAAGCTGAAATCCAGAAAAGTAATGTAGTCAGGAGTCTGACATTAAAAATCCATTTGGCAATCTTAAATAAAACATATCTGTCAATCCCAAATAATTAAACTAAAGTTGTAAAAACGTTTTTTAATAGTGACATCTTAGGTTCAATATTAAAAACATCTACACTAATCTTATTTTGATTTTAAAGATGTAGTACTGTAGTACTGTTGCTTTCTAATGCTTTACCCTTCCTGTTTTATCATTCATCTTGCAAATCTGTTATCTAAGGATACTCCTGTTTTATTATGGCCATGGCCATAATAAAACATTGGAGCATGCCCTAGACTTCTCAAGAATGTGCAGGATTTCCTTGGCAGTTGCCTTTAGGCGGAAAAAGCTTCCAGATAGTAGGCACTTGGAAAACTACTGAAATGTGTTTGATTAAAGCAGTCAAGGGGGATAAATGGATGTTCTTGAAAGCTCTTGCAAAGCGCTTGGCAATTTGAATGTGTGCTCATGGGGCAGCGAAAGGTCTCTTAGGGAGACTAGCTCAGAGCTGACTGTAGCATCTAAGACTGGATGTGCAAATCTACCTTGACACTTAGTTACATTTACTTAACAGAGAGTTGCATGGGGGGATGTGATGCTATCCTGGGTCCTAACTCTCTTGACTCAGTGTGTCTTTTGCATTGATTTTCATGTGTAATCCTGCCTATTCCACAACACTTTCTCTAGACCAGTGTTTCTCAGTTTCAGCAACTTTAAGATGAGCGGACTTCAACTCCCAGTATTTCCCAGCCACCGTGGCTGGCTGGGGAATTCTGGGAGTGCTGGGGAATTCTGGGAGTGCTGGGGAATTCTGGGAGTGCTGGGGAATTCTGGGAGTGCTGGGGAATTCTGGGAGTTGAAGTCCGCACATCTTAAAGTTGCTGAACTTGAGAAACGCTGGTCTAGACTACTTATAGGTATTTTCAGGCCCCCTCTCTCCCTGGCTTCCCATTGAGCACGGCAGAGTTGCAACAAAAGCAGAGCAGTGTAAACCTTCTGATTTGAGGCAGGTACCCTAAAATCATGCAGAAATCATGGCCAGTACTAATAACTGGCAGTGCTGTTAAATCCCTAGTACATACCAAGTTGATAGTATAATGGCTTTTTCTGGCAGCGTGATTTTTCAGGTTTCTAAGGATTTTTCCAGCAATGTAAGGCTCAAAATTACCCCTAAATGTATGTTTTGTGTGCAACTACTACCAAATTGGGAGTGGGGTTGAGCTCCCTATTCCAGTGTTGTCACCATATCATTTTCTCTATTGCTCTCGGAAACCTAAAATAGTTAATTGAGAACGTGGGTCCTTGAAGGAAAAACCTGAATGCCCCTGCCTTAAAGAGAACAGTGGTGCTGCTTTGTGGCTCAGGTTTATTGGCTTTCTTTGGTCTCCAGGAGAATATTTTTGCCCTGCTCCTCGGCCGAGACTCAGAGAAAACGGATGCATTCAGAAGCAGCCAGAAAAGACCCAACTTGCAGCCTCCATGAAAGAATTAATTAGTAGGCTGTGCTAATTGATCACAAATAAATCCTGACTTATACTGATTTAGGATTATTTGAAAAATAAGCACTGTTTTTCTACTCCTTGTCTTCCAGTCATATCTGAATGCCAGGTTCTACTCTTTCTATTCCTGCTGGCTGCCCAGAACACTCATCAGTGGCAGGAGATGCCAAGGAACAGAAAACTTCTGATGCCAATTTAGACATTCCCTGTCAGAGACCTTGAGGCTGGAAAAGATATACACAGACTTTCTCTCAGTGCTTCCAGATTCACTCCTTACAAAATCAGGGCTGGCATTCTGAATGCTTGTTCCAAATCCTCCTCCAAGCTGGAGATCTTAGCTTTAATTATGCAGCCTTTGCAGTGCACATATGATACGCCAAGCATGCTGATGCCCCTCAGCCTCCTGTCCAGTTCAGGATGATTTCTTAAATGCACAAATGTTTAAATGTAGTTTCCTCAGGTCAGAGTTAACGATTGTAAGTTAATTCTGATGCAGGTTACATAGTAAATGTCAAGCAATACATTATGACAGTCACCTAAATGTGATTTGGCCACATTCCTTGGCTTACAACTGGGAAATGGGAAAGCTATATCTTTTTTCCTTTTAGCATTTAAAAATTCTTTAGCTCCAGATGCTTGCCCAGATTTCAGACATTTCTTTTTCTAATGTTGGCATTTTAAAGAGTGTGTGTTTGTGTGTATATCCATACAAGCAAACAATATAAAACACAAGATCCTTACTTTTTGATCTACTTGAGAGTACCTCAGGAAATAGATCCTCAAGCAAGACCTATACATATAGAAGGATTTCTGCAGCAAGCAGGTGAGCTTAGGGTTTGATGGCTCTGAATTATTTGAACCAAATAATAGCACTGCTATGTTTTGAGGGTCTGGTCTTCCCCACCTGGTTGGAGTTACCAGAAGCAGCTGAAGTCCCATCTTGAGAAAATGCCTTTAAAATATTTCTTTGTTGTCTCTCATGCAACTGAATGGCTGCCATAGGAAGATATTGTTTTTTGGCAGTCATGCATACCTACGTTTGCATGCAGAATGCCCCAGGTTTAGTCTCTGGTATCTTTGAAAAGATCAGGTAAAGTGGACAATCTTTCTCTATTTGAGACCCTAGAACATGCTGGACTAAATGAACCAGCAGACTGAACTGTCCCATGAGCTTGCAAAAAGTTCCCAACAGTACATTGGCTGGTGTAACATGAATATCAAATTTCTTTCCACCAAAGCCTTGTTCTCCCTTCTTGTTGTCAACCAGTTCCCAAGTCTTTTTTTTTTTCCTGATCCTATTTATCATTGGTGCCATTGCTGTGAAGTGAATGAACAGATGGGAGCAACACATAGAGTTACATTTCTGGGGGTTCCAAACATGATGTTTAAGGAATGATTGTTCAACTCTGACATTTGGCTGAGCCAGGTTGGTGTCTGTAGAACCAGAGCATGGCTCTGTTCTCCTTGACTTTGGTCTTGTCCTAACTGAGGACACCATTGCAAAGTGACATGGGAGCAATCTTGAAATCCCTGTAAGACTGACATGTAGAAGAGGCCACAAGGTCTGAGGTTCTAGAGGATGGAACTGTTTGTTGTCAACCTAAGTGACAGAATGGCAGATTTTGATTGAATCTACTTTGTATCAAGTCAGTCTCTCCAGCTCAATATCATTTTCAAATCAATCAACATCAATATCAAAATCAGCAGTATGTGAGATTTGGGGAATTTGAACACGGGGCCACTACCTTCACAGACAAGGAAAATAGTCCCTTTCCCCCAGATGATCCCTGAAGATAGGGTATAATCTTCAGGGATACCAACAGCACCTGACCCAATTATCAGTCTACAGTTTTTGTCCTGGTACTGATTTCAAACTGTAGACCTCATGGCCTAAACAGTTAGCTTCATTTTTGGAATTGTTTGCTTCTTCCTTATCCTCTGTTTTTTCCTAAAATCTTTCCTGATAAAATACTCTGGAAAATTTGAAAGCCATCACACTTTTTCATTAGCTTGGTCCTAATCAAGATGTTATCGACTATGTTGCCAGCATTCCAATAAAAATAATTTCCATGGAAAAGCTTTGAGGTATGACAATTAAACAACACTGTGTTTCGTTGATTTTTTTTTCACTCACCCAGTCCAATATTTCACTGCTATTTTTGATGTTAGAAAACCTTTGAGATATAGTAGAATGGAAGAATTTCCAAAACATTTGCTGGAAAACATTCCAAAGCCAAAATTTCCTAAAGATTCAGTCACTGCTTATATTCTTTTTTTATTTATGTATGCCATACTGACATTTTTGGATCCTCCTAGGAATCAGGGTGGAGAAATGGCTTTTTTCTTTTAAAAAAATAGCAAAATAAATTTATTTTTCTCTTTTGGGGCAGGTGGCTGTAAAGAACAACATTGATGTTTTTTACTTCAGCTGTCTTATCCCCCTCAACGTGCTTTTCGTAGAAGATGGCAAAATGGGTGAGTGGTATGTCTGGTTGCTAATAGGCCCAGAAAGAACTAAAGGGAGGGATGGGATCGGTAGCATGGAAGGACAGTCAGTTGTTTCCTAGGTAAAGGACAAATAAAGAAATGAAGCACTGCAACCATTGCTATGTTGACTTACAATGTCCATATCAGCTTTCCCCAATCAAGGAAATACGGCCTTCAACTCCCAGAATTCCCCATTCAACATGGCCACTGGGAGTTGAAGCCCTATACTGCTGCTCCACACTGAGACTGCTGATTTCTGAAGGCTATTTCACCATAACCCTTTTAAATTACTCAAAGTTTTTTAGAGTGTACTCCAAATCCATCTGCCCTTTACTCCTACAATGATTGGGCCAGCAAAGAAGGATGCAAGTGGCAACCACGTGACTGCAGGATGCTGCAACAGCTGGAACTCCAAGGACCAGTTGTAAGTACCACTTGTTAAGCGCCATCGCAAGTTTGAATGGTCGCTGAACAAGTGGTCATTAAGTGAGGACCACCTGTAGTCCTGCAAATTACCCAGTTCTATGCCATGAAGGGCTTTATAGTAATAAAAAGCACCTTGAATTGCAGTGGGAAGTCCATTGGGAGCCAGTGGGCTTGCTGAGTAGAGGTGAACACAGGTGAACTGAAACACATCCACATGTCTCCACACTGCTGCATTCTAGACCACCTGCAACTTCCAAGTTGTCCAAGGACAGCCCCATACAGAGTTCATTGCCAAAGTCCAAGCAAGAGGTGACTAAAACATGAGTGACAGTGAGCAGGGTCTTCTCATCTAGGAATAGTTGCAGTTGGCGTATAAGATGAAGCTGTGCAAAGCCCCTCTTAGCCACAGATGCCACCTGCTCCTTGAGGATACCCAAATAGCACACCAGCTCTGTCTGGGGGAGTGTTAACACCATTCAGAGCCAGAAATCGTAAGTCCCCAGTTCTGCTGGATCCCAGAACCCATTGCCACTCAGTCTTGCCAGGGTTGAGTTTGAGCTGTACCTTCCCATCCAGGCCTGCAGAGCCTCCAGACACTGAGGAAGCATCTTGACAGTATCACTTGACCAGCCCTGGGTAGAGATGCATAATTAGGTATTATCAGCATACAGATGATACCTAATCCTGTCCTGTTAGATCATCACACCCAGTTGTCTCATGTAGATGCTAAACAGGGGTGGGGAGAGAGTAGAGCCATGTGGCATCTCACACATTAAGAGTTTAGGGCTAGAGCTCTCATCCCCGCCAGTAGTGACTGGAACTGACCCCAAAGGTAGGAGGAGGAACACTGCCCCACCATGTCTCCCACTTCTATTTCCCCTAAGCTGGTCCATAAAGATACCATGAACAATACCATGATATTGAGAGATTAAGGAGGGCCAGGATGGATGCACCCCTACCATCCACAGGTCATCTGTGTGTGACTAATGCTGTCTCAGTACCGTAACCAGGTCTGAACCTGACTGAAAGGTGCTCAGATAACAGACTTCAGCCTTTTGTTTTCTTCCCCCAGAGCTTTCCTCTTTTTAAAAGTGTTACCTACTTGACATCTACACAAAATGTTTGGCAGAAGGCTCCTCAGGTCAAGGTTGGCATACATGTACACAAACATTTTAGAGTTGCCAAGGTCCCTAGGGATCATCTAATCCAACTCCTCATTGTAACGCATGATTTACCGTGCAAAAAGCAACTAAAATGCCAGGGGTGGGTAGCCTCTTACTTTTTGCTTAAATGCTTCCAGTGAACATTTCCCACCATTTTCCCATGCACACACAAGACAGTTTGGCTGTCAGACAACTCTCATTAAGAAATTTCTCCTAGTATTGAGCCAGAAGCCACTTTCCTAAAATTTCTACCCATTGGATCTAATTTTGCCTCTGAAGCAGCACAAAACCACCCTGCTCCATATTAAGCATGACGGCTCTTCGCATCTTTTGAAGGCTGCTATTGTGGCTCCCATTAATTTTCTCCTCTTTGGGCTAAACCTATTCTGCTAACCCTATTCATTGCACATATGCTGGAAAAAAGTGCTGTTGTTAGTATTTGAAATCCCACATAAATCTTCACTCCATTGGTCAGACCTAAAAGTGTGTGTGTGGATGTCTCAAACAGCTGTAGAAAAATGGAAAACTCAGTTTTATGTTTTCCCATCCTGTAGAACGCCAAGTTTTCCTCGCTACATGGAAGGACATTCCAAATGAAAATGAGCTCCAGTTCCAAATTAAAGAGTGTCACCTGAATGCTGGTAAGTAGTAAACTTTTTTTTTCAAAGATATAATCTCTGTAACTTTGCCTGAAACAGTTTTGATTTGTGACTTGTGTTTTGGTTTGAAAAATGCTGCTCTTTGGGTTTGGTGTAGCACTTCCCATGTGTCATATTGGACATGACTTTTATGACACATCACACCCCATGAATATGGATGGATTCCAGTGGGAGCTTGAGGAGTTTCCCAGTGATCTGGTGGGCAGTTCCTTTAGTTGTCTGGTTGACCATTGGCAACACGGGGTGACCCAAACTCTTGACAAGATCACCCTCAACCAGCCTCTCTTTGTTCTTCAATCATGGGTACCTCCTCAGTTTACTGAGGAGCTTCAGGAGATGTGCACCAGAAGTGATACCTGGAGAGCAGGTGAAGAAAAATGAGGGAAAAAATGATTAAGCATGGGTACAAGCTCAAGTTTGAACCTATGCCATATCAGTAAGGGAGGTGAGATATATATATTTCTCCTCCCTTCTTGCTGCAGTGGGCTGCAATCCAGCAGCCTTATTTAGAACTGCAAGCTTCCTGTTGGAATAGCTGAGCAGGAAGATCTCCTGCTGGGCTGCTGTGACCATTGTGCACATTTTGATAAAGTCACTCAGATTTGCCAGAGTCTTGGAGTCTAACATAGTGACTGGAGCATTATCTTGCCTCATTAGCTGAGATTCTTTTTGGCCTGTGGACTCCAATCAGTGGATAGAGTTAATATAACTTCTGCCACCTGTGCTTTAAGTCCATGTCTTTCCTGGCTCTTTAGGGGGCAGGGGAAGGTGTGGCAGTATTTTCTGGAAATGGGAGGTTATGGGGTGGCAAGTGCTTTTTACATAAATTAAGCTTTGTAACCAGTGATGTCCCTGTAGCAAACACTTTGTGAATGGGGAACCCTTCCCTGAAGTCATCTTGCAAGAGCTCCCACAACATATTCTCAAAACATCAAATGTGCTTAACCAGCTGCAAAAGCCACTAGTATAAGGTATATTTTAATAAAAGAACAAGGTGGTTATACCTATTAGAGTTCTGGGTAACAAAATGTATTTAAATTACGTTCTGTTGCTGATAGGAATGTTTGTCTGCCATCCAATATAGTCTGGGGTAATGAGCAGGCTTGTCCCTTGCAAAGCACTATATGTGTGTATTATGTGGGAATAGGTGGCACCATCAAGACATTTTTAACCTTTGAAACAATTATGCATCTACAGTCTTCAGGGCTCCTCCAAGCACCTTCCTCTGCTATTACTGGAACTCAGAGAATTAGAATGCCAAAGAGGTTCCATTCTAGGCAATACATACCTGAACCCACACACACACACACACACACACACAGTGTTTCCCAGTACAGTGGAGGTGAGCAAGCCATTTGGCGGCTCTATACCACATTTTTGGGGAAGGCAAGGACCAAAGTGGGTGTGCTGATGATGCATAATAGGTGAGAGTATGTCCCATACTGAGCGGGTCTTGATTTCTATTTTCCTTTCCCCTGGGTTTCCGTGCAATGTTTTGTCAGGTTCTTTCAACTACAAAAAGTCTGTTTTAAGGTTTATGGTAGTTTTCAAGTATTTCCTGATTTAAAATGGCATTTTTCTATGACACCAATTGGGGGAGATGGTGTTAGGGGGTTCAGGATCTGTACACATCCCAGGGGCCTCCTGTTGCCCACCCCTTCATTACAAATTCCTTATCCTTAGGAAATCATCTGCAGAGCTTCTGTAGCTTTTCTTTGCCAGCCTCATTGCTCCCAGCAGGGTATATATCTAGTTGGCAATATTGCTGCCTGTCTTTCTCCTGCAAGCTTGGCAGCCCAGTCTTCAGACACCAGGAAGTGGGGGAGCAGGAGGAAAAGGCAGCTCAGAAAACATCTCTAATTGCTGGGAGAGCAAAACATCAGCTCTGGAGAGGGGGGAAGCCAATCTAAAGAAATAAAATCTTGTTTATTAGACATGACCCACTTTTCACGTTCTTCACAAACTGAGTGAGACTGGCAGATTTCCCACACATGCTGTCACTTCCCCAATGATAGCTCACTTTTGGAAGGCTTCACTTCCCACCACCTTTTTTGTTATGGGAGAAGAAGCTCATTATCTGGGAATGTGGCTGTGTACAGCCTTTGAAATGTTGGAAAGTTCTCAATCATTCTTTTTTTTTTTAAGTTTCAATAAAGATCATATTAAAAAAAGGAAAGTTCTCAATCATAGAGTCCAGAGTTGCACTGCAACAAGATTGGAGTGACCAAAACTGATCTGGTCAAGCCAAGGTTCACATGATAAACTGTGCAAATATAGCTTCTAGACCAGTGTTTTTCAAACTTGGAAACTTTAAGATGTGTGGACTTCAACTCCCAGAATTCCCTAGCCTGCTTATTTCTAGATGCTTGCAGATTTTGATTCCAGCCTTACAATTGGTACGATGTATTTGCTGTATAAGTTAACCAGGTATGGAAACAAAAAACTTCTTTGTCTCACTGCTTTCCATTGTGAGCCACTGTTTCTCCAAATTCAGTTCTTACAATAGCTTCTTGTTTGCTAAGATTCCTCATCATAGGAGGACAGCCATGTTAGTCTATGGTAGCCAAAAATCAGAAGGAAGTCATGAGAACTTATGCTTTTCAATAAAATTTGTTAATTTGAAAGGTGCTACCAGACTTTTTCTGAATTAAGGCTTCTCACAAGGAAAAGCAGTTTTGGCAGACCCAGTAGCCCAGTCCACATTCTGGCATGCTCTTCACAATCCTAGGCCTTGCTATAGTAAATAATGTAAAGGTAAATCTCCCTCTTAAATTCTGTTCTCTTAATGCGGCTATCTGATCTTACACCCCTCTACCTTTTCTGAAACCTGCCTATTCATTTGGCATTTTTTTCTCTTTGGCTGTATTTTTCTTGTAGGATCTTAAGTAACTTTGCTTGTGTAAGGAATTAGTGCAAGGCATCTGAAAGGCTCTTAGATTTTTTCTTTGATTTGTGTATCATTTTTGTTTTCTTATCTCTTAGCTTCTCAAGTTCTTCTCCACATAAAAGTGTACTGAATCTGTTCCTTACATTGATCTTACTCTGATTGTATGACTTCAGGATAAAAACTTGCTAACGTACTCAATTGTCTTTAATATTTGAAGTTTAAACTGTGTATTTAACACCAGTAATTCATGGTCTGTTGCACAGTCTGCATCTGAAAGTATCCTGACTGACTGTTGCATTTATTCATGTTCTGTTTCCTATTATGTAGTCAATTTGATTCCAAAGTTATGCATTCAGTGGTGCCCAAGTGTAGAATTTCTGTTTATGTTGATTGCAGATGTTGGCAGTGAACTTCACCTTACTTATTGTCCTGAATATTGTTTCTATGAAATCAAAATTCATAGAATGGCTCCTCAGTTTCTGCAGTACAGGCATTCCGTTCTTCAGTTAATTCCTTTGTATTTTCCAACACTGCATCTATAGTAGGGTCATATATTTATGTAATACTGATGTTCACTGGATAGCCACTCTCTATAATAGATACGATTTTGTTGTTTACTGGGCATAATCAAGTACATAATTAGTGATGTCCTTTTTAAGCATCATTGCCTTTTCTACAGTTAGACTAATCAGAATATCCTATTTAGTGTGCTGCTTTTCCATTTTGACAATTTCAGGTTTCCCTTGATTCATATATCTCACAACTGTTTTGTCTGTCCCAATTGTTTATGTCCTTATAAAACAAGGAGCTCCTCTGAAGAGCTCCTCTGAACAGTGGTATGATCATTAACCATACTTCCTTGTGGATTTACTCTGGCCACACTGAGAGAGAGAGAAAATTTTATCAAGAATTTTGATAATAATAGTAAAATCTAATACAAACTAAACTTAAAGAAGAGAATAGAAAGGAGTAAAAAGTGCAAGAAAAAAAGAAAAAGAGAGAGAAAAAAGAAAAGTAGGAATATAATAAAGAGAAAATAAATATATAAAGAAGTGAAAATTTAGAAACAAATTTGGTGACTCTTCACCCCCTCTAAGGTTACAAACATTTATCTCTTCATCCCATTTCCCATCTCTTCTCTATAAACAAATCCATAAAACATCATCTTTTCAGTCCTGGTGTCAACAGAAACTCAGTAAAAGGTTGCCAGAGGTAAGAACATAGCTTGTTTTAACCTTGATCAAATAAACTAACTTTATATTTCTTCATTTTACTTCTAACAATCTTAATCTTTAGTTCATTCAAATATTGCTGTAGGATTTGATTTCTCTTCATTTCCTCTTTGTCCCATCACACAGAGTTCTTCAAGACTTTAATAAGCCTCTTTTGTAAATCCAGTAGGAAGAAAATTATCCAGGTCACTCTCTTAGTTTGTCATTTGTGCTTCCCTTCTAAATTGTAAAGCCGCAGCCAATTTCTTTTGTAGATTCCATGACACATCCTTTTCTAAGTCATTCTCTTGGTCTGTCAGCTATAAATCCACTTTGAATACCATCTCTATCTTGTCAACTAAAATTTGTTCTACATCTGTCATTTCTTCAATAACATCTTTTGGACATAGTCTATCCATAGAACGTTTTGCAGGTTTGTAAATCTTTCCTCTACCTAAAAACTTTAGTCCCCTCTAGTGTCCAGTTTTTGAAATCATGAAATTGCTAAGTCATTCTCTTGGTCTGTCAGCTATAAATCCACTTTGAATACCATCTCTATCTTGTCAACTAAAATTTGTTCTACATCTGTCATTTCTTCAATAACATCTTTTGGACATAGTCTATCCATAGAACGTTTTGCAGGTTTGTAAATCTTTCCTCTACCTAAAAACTTTAGTCCCCTCTAGTGTCCAGTTTTTGAAATCA